TTTGGTTGATGAAAATTTAATCAAAATGTACTATGCATATTACATATCATTTATAGTTACAATTATGAAGTACTTGCATGCAAGATCCATAGGTATTGGGTTCGAATCTCGCGGAGTGGGATCGTAGATATGCACTGTAGACAAGTCTCATATTAGGATGAAACGGTCATGCAGTGCTTTCAGATTTTCTATGTTGGTCTAACTTCAATTGACTCATGAGCTTAACTATTAAATGTCCACAAAAAGCCCTTTCTGCTAAAATTAAAATAAATTATTAAACTTGATTACTTCTTTTTAACAAATTGAATCAAATGCACAATAAGAGTTTAAATATCAATAATTTGTGTTGACCAAAGATGATCAACAGTTGAAATGAATCAATAGAATTAAAAAGAGATGGTTCAGTTTTAAGAATAAGAGCTTTTTGTTAATCAACCTTTCTGTTTGAATAGATTATCTTAATGATTTCTGATTATACTTATATAGATTATACTGTTTTATAATACAAAAGGTAAACACTTTATTGTTGTAATAACTATAATAAAAAATTAAAATAAAATCATTGTATTAGTTATAATTGAAGGAGCTAGTTAGCTCATTGATTATATAATTAACAGCAAACATTTTATTCAGTATTATATTACTTACTTACGCCTGTTACTCCTCGTGAAGGAGCATAGGCCGCTCACCAGCATTCTCCATCCAATCCTGTCTTGAGCAATCCTTTTGAGCTCCTTCCAGTTGTTATTCATCTTTTTCATATCTGCTTCTATTTCCCGACGTAATGTGTTCTTTGACTTTCCTCTTTTCCGCTCCCCTTCAGGATTCAAAGCCAGGGCTTGCCTCGTGATGCAGGTTGACGATTTACGTAATGTATGTCCTATCCATTTCCATCGTCTTTTCCTAATTTCCTCTTCAGCTGGAAGCTGATTTGTTCTCTCCCAGAGAAGGCTGTTACTATTGGTATCCGGCAAATGGAAATTGAACATCTTGCGTAGATAACCATTTATAAATACTTGATGGTGGTGGTTGTAATTCTCCAAGTTTCAGCTCCGTACAGTAGAACTGCCTTGACGTTGATATTGAAGATTTTTACTTTGACAATGGTTGAAAGTTGTTTTGAGTTCCATATGTTCTTCAATTGTAGGAATGCTGTCCTTGCTTTGCCAATCCTCGCATTTAAGTCTGCATCTGAACCTCCTTGTTCATCGATGATGCTTCCCAGGTATATGGAGGATTGTACATATTCCAGAGTTTCGCCACCAAGAGTGATTGTACTGCTGTTCTTCGTTTTGAGACGGAGAAGATTTGGAAGATGTAAAAACCTTTACATATTTGGGCAGCACCATTGATGAACAGGGTGGATCTGATGCAGATGTGAATGCAAGAATCGGCAAAGCAAGAGCAGCATATCTACAACTGAGAAACATCTGGAACTCAAAGCAACTGTCAACCAACACCAAGGTCAGGATTTTTAATACAAATGTCAAGACAGTTCTATTGTATGGGGCGGAAACCTGGAGAACTACGAAAGCCATCATCCAGAAGATACAGGTGTTTATTAACAGTTGTCTACGCAAAATACTTCAGATCCGTTGGCCGGACACTATTAGCAACAACTTACTGTGGAAGAGAACAAACCAGATCCCAGCGGAGGAAGAAATCAGGAAGAAGCGCTGGAAGTGGATAGGACACACATTGAGGAAAGCACCCAACTGTGTCACAAGACAAGCTTTCACATGGAATCCTCAAGGCCAAAGGAGGAGAGGAAGACCAAAGAACACATTACGCCGAGAAATGGAAATAGACATGAAAAAGATGAACAAGAATTGGATGGAATTAGAAAAGGAGTCCCAGGACAGAGTGGGTTGGAGAATGCGGCTCGGCGGCCTATGCTCCATTGGGAGTAACAGGCGTAAGTAAAGTAAAGTAAGTAAAGTCTTCGTTTTGAATTTGAGGACCTTGGTTTCTCCCTTGTGCATGCTGAGGCGTACTGACGCAGAGACTGCTGCTACACTGGCTGTCTCTATCTGTATTTGTTCATATGTATGCGATAGGAGGGCTCAGTCATCTGCGAAGTCCAAATCGTCTAATTGATTTTGAGCTGTCCATTGTATTCCGTGTTTTCCCTCAGATATCGAGGTCTTGATAATCCATTCGACCATCAGAAGAAAGGGGAAGGGAGAGAAGAGACAACACTGGATTCAGTACTATATACCTGATTATAATAAATGAATTCTAAATGAGACTATGAAATATCATAAAAATTTCCCCCATCTAGTATATAGTTAGTTTCTGAATATTTTAAAAGTATATACGTCTTTAGATTTATCATCCTGAAAAAGCATCGACAGTACAAAAGAAATTCGTTTTTATGAATATGGAATGTAAAGGAGATACGATTGCTGAAATCTTAAATAAATGGATTTCAAAATCGTTGAATAAAACTGTTGGGATATTCAGAAAAATATCCCAAAAATTATCCTGTTGAGTCTAATGCTATCCTGGGACTTGAGATGCAAAAACAATTCGTCCAACAACTCATGCTCCTTTGACCCTAGTTCCCTTTGATGGTATGTCTTTGTTTTTCTCCTTTTTTCTTCATTTTTGTTTAATTGTTACTGATTTCTTAAATTATTGTTTTGTAATTTTAAACTCTAATCAGTCATTATTGTTATTATTATCTCATACACGTTTTCTTGATTATTATTATTATTTATTTCAACAGTTGATATCACGAGTCAATTGGAGCTAGACCACCATGAAAAATCTAGAGGCATCGGACAACCGTTCCGTCCTAGTATCAGACTCCTCAACAGTGCACATCCACAATCCCGCCTCGCGAGATTCGAACCCAGGACCTATCAGTCTCGCGTGCGGACGCTCAGCCACTAGACCACGGAGCCGGTCAGTATCCAACGGTGTTAATGTCTAACTTCAACTAATCCACGAAATTGAGCGACACATCCACCATTGTCATCAGTGAGTTACTATATCACAACAGACCCGTTTGAACTTCACTAGTCACTGCTTATTGGAATTACTACAATCTCCATAAAACACCTTTCTGATATTATTCAGTTTTATTATTATGATCTTTGTTTGTCGTTTTTCTTCATATCTGTCAATTGAACAGTTATCTGACCCATAAATTATTTTCATCCTTACCCCTTGATTGTCGCGTAATCTCACTTGATAATAAGAGCCTTAAATCAATTTATTATGGAATCTTTTCTATCGTTCCATAAACATATACTTTCCATATAAATATATATACGAATGTACAGCTTAAGTAAACAATTTGGTCGAAAAGAAAATTTTCTTCACTGGATTCTCTTTATCTTTATCTTTTAAAAAAATAATGATTAGTTGCCATTTGTATTTATCCATAAGCATTTTCAACTATTTCGCTTCCATTATAGAATTTTATTCATTGTGTAAATATACTTGATGGTATGAATTGTATTGCCATTCATTCTACTCAAGGGATAAACAAAAAGAAAAATATATCATCAATCGTAATGATTTAGTTAGAATGGGATAGTAATTCGTTTTGTGGCAAATTGTAAGTCTCTTACAAGTACTTATGAGTACACCCAACCAAAATTCATATATCTTTAAATTCTAGTCTTTTCGATTACTGCTTATACTCTTACTACATCTACAACTACGGGGTTTGAATCGACAACTGCATCTCTGTGCTAATGTAGTATGGCAACTCGAACTGATATACATACATACGAAATTCTACGTTGTTACTGACTGACTGATTTATTTGAAACTGGAATAATTTTTAGAAAATTTCATTTCTTTTCTTGTGCCTCATATTTTATAACTGTAAATCACATTATAGAAGTAAATCAACTCATAGTATTATTTTTGATGGGATAAAAGAAATCTGTGAAACAACAGTTTGAGACTTGATGTAGTGGTACTCAACCAGTCAGAAGGTAGTTTTTATACCAGTGAGCATTCTGAGTAGCGTCAGTAATTTAATTTGGAAAGGAGAAGAACAAGAGAAAAAGAACACACAATCCACTTACATTTATTCAGGAAAGTAATAAACAGCAGTAACACAAGCCTCGGATTAAGGCAATCTTGGAACCGAAACTAGGAACAGGTAGTGTAACCCGCTATATTAGTTCTTCCTATGTAAGTTACAAATAAAATGTTATTCTTAGTAACTCCTCAGTCTCATTACTTTCTAGCTGAACTTTAATCTAATGTGAGTTATTGGAGAATTATCAAAGTATACACAACCTTTTGAAAAATATCTAGTTTAATGCTGACAATAAAACTGTTTTAAAAGTTCATTGTTTATGAGTGTTCTACATTAATGACGTTTATTTGATTGCAATGATAATTCCTTGCATGAATCACTAGACGTCATCATTGCTTTATCATTTCACTGCATTACATAACCTCGAAACAAAAAGAAATAATGAAAGTATACATTTGTAAATAGATAAAGAGATATTGATGAAGATACAGACTCTACTTACAAAATATATTGTCATTCCCATCATATATATCTCTTGAAATTCTTATGTAGTTTTATATTCAGATAAATAAAAAAGAGCTATCATATTTAATTATTATCAGAGTGTATCGCTCAATTTTGTGGATTGGTTGAAGTTAGACATAAACACCACTCGATACTAACCAGCTCAGTGGTCTAGAGGTCAAGCGTTTGCACGTGAGACCGATAGGTTCAAGGTGAGTGTCGTGGATGCAAACTGCTGGGGAGTCTCACAATAGGACGAAACAGCCGTCCAATGCTTCCAGATTTCCCATAGTGATCTAGTTTCAATTAACTCATGATCTCAACTATTAAACATAATCAATTAGAATGATTTAATAGTCAATCATAAAATGACTGGTTATTATTATTATTCATACAAACAAAACATTCAACATATTATTCTATTGGTCAGTTTTAATTAGTTTCAACTTTGTACAGTATTTAATGTAGTTTAAAATTCTTTATTAAATAAATTTTCATAAAATTGAACTTTGCATTAAAGATAAACAAATGATGATGTATTCTAATATTATATCATTACAGTTTAGTATATTTCTATTAGTTTTATGTTCAACAATAAGAAATGGTACGTTATACATGATCTTTCATAAGTTTCTTATTGACAATTAATTATACTATAATTCATAGTTATATGTTATATAATGACTGTAATTCAGAATGCTTCTTTTAGATGGTGGCTGGAGGTAGTCAACAGGGTTTCCTGTTGACTACCTCCAGCCACCATCTAAAATCTCAATACATAGTGCCCTCAGCGTCGAGTCACATAGACTGGTGGCCGCATTGCAATATGATCGATAGCATTCGATCTGCACTAACAAGGACTAGACAAACATAACATTGATCACCACCCAGTGATCAGTCAATAGTGAATGTTTCTTTTATTTCATTCACATAATTATTACTTGTGTAATAGAATCAGTTAAATATAAAATTGAATAGGAAATTATTAAGAAAATGAGAATTCAGTGAAGAAAAGTTTCTTTTCAACGAAATCACTTACTCAAGCTGTTGCTAGGTTTAAAACTATCACGAGTTCATTTAATCTGCGAACGAGAACAAGACTCGGTGACCAAAGACCAGTAGGCTAGCCATTGATGCGTCCCAGCCCCGCTAACTAGAGGGAGAAGTCCAAGCTTGTATAAAGCAATAATAATAATAATAATAATAATAATAATAATAATAATAATAATAACGGATTAGAGGTTAAAATGCAAAACAGTAGTTTAGAAAATTCAATAATAATCAAATAAAAGGGTAGAAAAACAACAACCCAGAAACATACCCATTAAAGGAATTAGGGCCAATGATGGATGAGAGTTTGGACAAATCGTTTCTGCTCGTAAAGTTCAGGCTTGAGTTTAAGGATTGTCAATGCATCAGTAGTGAATAAAATATTAATTCGAACCCCTCTTCGATCCAGTTCCATTGACTGTGTAGATTACTTTAAAAGAAGAGTTCTTTGGAGCGATGTGTCCACAGTTATTCAAATGCTCCTGTATCGAACTAGTAATTGTTTTGCATTCTCCTTTAAAGAGCCAAGCCTTTTTCTTATTCAATGACATTATGGGTTTTTTAATTATAATAAATTAATGTTATACAAATGGTAGTACACTTGATGATTGAAAAATATATACATATGTTTAATATTGAGTTCTACTTTGAATAATAGATAATAATAGAACACAATTTCCACAAACCCTAATTCTGATAATAATCATCGTGTGCTCACTAGTGACTATCTTTCAGATGTGTTTCTTGAAGTTTTAGTGAGTAAATGTGATCAGTATAGTTAAACCGTGTCTGTTGTAGAGGCTAAGCGATCGCGCGAGAGACCAAAGGTCATGGGTTCGAGTTCTGCGTGTTTGATCGTGGATGTGCACTGCTGAGGAGTCCCATACTAGAGCGAAAAGTCCGTCCAGTGCTTCCAGGTCTTCCATGGTGGTCTACCCTAAACCAACTCATGAATTCAACCATTAAATTATTTTAATTTCTACAAACCCTCATTCTGAGAATATAGGACAACTATTTTATCTTATTTAGGATCCGTTAGTTCGGTCCGCTTTTATTCATGCGTAAATATTTAATGAAAAATCCAAATTTATACAATGTACAAGTTAATATCCTAAACTGTAACTGAGAATAATTAAGGAATACCTAGTCAAAGTTTTTGAGATGTGACTTAATAACTTCAAATAAATTCTACAGTGTAGATGGTTTTTGTTAGAAATGAAACTAGTTTTCATTTGTTTAATGTCTAAAATGAATAAAAATATAAGACTTCTTTCAAAGAAATGCTTCGATATAGGCTATCGTTTTCATCACTCATTGATGTCTTCTCTTAAGAACTACTGAAAACTAAGCATCACTAGGCTGGTGTTTCATATTAGCTTAGAACTTTTCAGTATTATATGACCACAACTACACATGATTTTATTGAATTCACTAAATTATTTGAGAATGCTAACCCTCATGGAGGAAAATAGGCCGTCTGGTATGGTGAACTAGTCAAAAGTAGATAAATGCGAATGTCAGTCGATGTCAATTGGAAGTGACCCGAACAAGAAGTGCATTTCACTGGCTAAGAAATGGATCGATTCTCTAAGGTGTAGAGTTGTATTCATAAATATAAATGAGCATTTGTCCATTTTATTCAGTGGACCGCTCAAGTAGTAATTTGGAAGTTAGCGCATATCACGTAGTGTATCAGTGTATCATATTTCGGACACCACCCACTGAGATTCTCTATCGAATCCCGTCCTGAGAAATCTTTTCCAATTGTTTTCAGTTTCTATTTATTCCTTTAGTATCTGCTTCCGGTTCTTAACTCGGTGTGTTTCTTGGTCTTTCACTTTTCACTTCCCGTTCAGGATTCCAAGTTACGGCTTAACTCGTGATGTAGTTTGTTCATTTCCGCAGTGTATGTTCTATTCACTGGCAGCATCTTTTCCTGATTTCGTCTTCAACTGGAAACTGGTTTGTTCTCTCCTGCAGTAGGTTTTTGCTAGAGATACATGAATCAGTGACTAAAAATTTCAAGTCTCACAGTGCGCATGCTTCAATTGAATCCATGAATTAAAATAAGACTATTCAAATTTTCACTCTGAATCTAATCGTATTGAATATGAAAGAGTAACTGATTGGTGGTATTAGATGTTGTTCAGGCTTCATCACTAGTCAAATAACATCCAAGATCTAGGTTATTAAAGGTATCATGTTCCCAGTTTGATGTTAAGTCAACAGATTCTACCCATGGTAAATTCACGAACAATTATTATCAAATAACTTCAAATAAGAACGAATTAGGTAATCTGTTCTCTTTGAATTTCAGTGATATTCTAGCTTGTGTTAGTCTATGAAGTAAACTGTTTTCATATTGAATCAACATTTTTAAAAAATCACCCGATTGAATGTTTAGTACTGAAAATCTTTAAGATAATATTATTAATATCTTCAACCATAAACATCAAATTTAGTTTTGATGATTTCATGTTATATGTACCATTGTAGTTGAATTAAATTAAAAGAGAAATAAATGGTAACTAGGAGAACTACAGTGTTCATCTTTTTAAAACCAGTATTGATGAGATCATGTCATTGAATGAATAAAGAAAGTATAATTTAGGACAATTTAAGATAATAATTAAATGAAAAAGATGTATAATTTCATGCTAAATATTTATAACTATATTTAGTGTTTAACAATAGTTTATTTATAAACGGTAATGAATGTAGAATAATGTACTTATTTTGAGGTCGATATTTGACAATTTAATGATTTCTTATTATACAACAGTTAAACAAATCAATTTTTAATCACTAGGCCGATAGAATCATAGTTAAAGATAAGAATTCTAATGATTTTATTCTATTCTAGCTGGGTGATATTTAAGTAAAGCTTTAATTATTTTCTTTAGCAATAACATCACAAGTATATACATTGAAGTAAATGAGCATTTATGATTTATTTACAGATGGTATTATTTAGCCTTATCGATATAGTTTGAAGATGAATGTTAACAGTAATTGTGTAATTACTGTTTGTACACATATTTCAATTTTTATTCTCAGTGATCTTATCATTCCACTTCTTCAATATATCTCATTATTACGTCTATAACTGTATGGACTCAAATATGATCCATAGAAATTAAATGAAATAAATTTAAGTTCCATTATATCCTCAAGTCTTGTAACTTAGAAATTTCCTATCTGTTATGCATATTATTATCACCCATGATCAAATATGAGATGATTACAATCACAAAATTAATTTTTGAATTTAGTATTATGCATTTTGTAATTTGCTTCAAACATAACATTACCCTTTTTGTAATTGATGTTTAGTTTATTCTATCACCTGTTACGTATGCGAAAATTGTGTGAACGTAGACGGAAATACTGCAACTCAATCTGACTGTGGAGCATGTATTGTAAGTCAAGTAGTATGTATGAAATTTTCGGTTTTTTCACTTATCTTACACACTGATCAATAAGGTTGATCTACTAAGATCCGAACCTCCTACACTTATGCTATATACATCAACCAATGAAATTACTTTAGGATGGTAGACAAAACTCTGGGTATTTTCGCACTGCTAATATTGAAAACTCTTTATCTGTAATGTATACGTTCTAAAGATTTATAATTTTACGGTCGACACCATTGCATATGTTGTAATTCTTTTTACTTTCAAGACTTAAAAAGATACTTTATGTAAAATGTGAATATATCTCTTAATGTGAAGACCATTTCTTCTCATTATCACCATATTCTAAGGTTATATTTGAATTGATATGAAGATGTTATTCAAATTAACAATGGAAGAAACATGATATTATTCGTAACGATCGATTTTTCTTTTCTTTTCTCTGTGCGTTATGCATACTGACAAACTAAAATTAGGAAGAAACACATGTTCTGAATTCCATTGTTGATCACAATAGAAAATTAACAGTAAATAATTGAGTTGAAATAAACTGTTATTATTAAGCTATTGTTGATTCCAGATATCACCGGCAAAAATCCAAACGAAAACATTAGTTCACTTTAGTATGGTGGTATGAGCTACTTATATACACATAAGTAGTATATAACTATGGTCGAACAGAATGTATTTCAATGGAAGAACGCGAACGGAGAGCAATTGGTATGAAAATGCATGATCAATGAAATCTGAGTCAATGGACTGATATTTGAAAAAAGGAACAGTCAAGTTTGAGGCAATTGATTGATATTTTGCATACATTCGATTGTCCCCACTGGCGTTCTTGTTCACTACAGTATAAACAAGTTTAGATAAGATAGAAATAATAATAAAATCTTGTAAAACTTTTCATTTGTTCACTTATCAACTTTATGAGTCTAGATTAGATTGACTCATAGATCCAACTATTAAAATTACTAGAATCTCCACAAATCCCCATTTTGATAATAATAACTATTCGCTCTCCAGTGGCTAGCTTCAAGATGGGTTTCCTGCAGTTCTAGTGCGGAGCCCTGATTAGTGCAGTTTAATCTACGTCAGATGGAGACAGTTATCTAATTCAGACAATGGATAAAGGATTGCACAAGATCATGGATCGACTGAGGTTAGACATTAACACCACTAGATGCTGGTTCAGTGCTCCAGAAATTCAGCGTTTACGCTTGAAACCGAAGGTCATGTATTCGAGTTCCTCATGCGGGATCGTGGATACGCACTACTGAAGAATCACATACGGTGGCGAAACGGCCGTCCAGGTTTTTCAGGTTTTCGATTGTGATCTAGCATAGATCGACTCATGAACTCAACTATTAAAAAAATCAATTTACCAAAAAATTTCACAGGTTGAAATCATTAGTCGGTTGAAGCTAGACCACCATTGAAAACCTGGAAGTAAATAACTTCTAACGTTGAATTCATTCATAGGACAGATTAATAAAACATGAGATGACACCTTTATTATGATTGATTGTAACACTTTTGTACAAATAAACCATGCGTTCAAATCTTTATGAAGATAAAAACCATTTTAAAACAGTCATAAATGCTGTATAAAACTATTACAAATAAAATGATGAATCTGTATTATAAATTACGAAAATGTAGTGAGAAGCTAAAACTGATCTGTGAAATATGATGTACTTGAACAATACAATTCAAACATGTTCATTTCATATTTGCTAATTAAGTTAGTTGATATGAATTTTGAAAAATATCAGCTACAAGAAAGTTCAAACAAACAAGTACTGATAATTGGACAGATGAGAAAGCTATATATATTATGTACACTGAATAAAAGAGTTGTATTATGTGAAATGAAAAGAATAACAAATTTGTCACATCACAACATGTTTTAAAATAGACTTGTGGCTATCAAGATGGATTCAAAATGATAAGCTACTTATCTTTTGAATACCCAAATGAAAATGAAACTATCTAATGGTTAAGGCTTTCATATACCTGATAATATACTCCTTATTAATAACCAATCTCTAGGTACATACATATGAGCCACACAAATCTCATTTAATATGTGTGAGGGCTGTGATACTGCCAATATACAGATTATTGGAACTTGAGAAATCATCAATTGATATGTCTTATAAACTTATTACTTACTAAAACACTCTATCTGAATTATTAATATTAATGATCATTGAATAGACATATATTTACTGACAGAGTCATGTTAAAACACAATGATATGAACGAAGAATATTCTTTTCAATAATTTCTCATCACGTTCTACAATTATCATATCCAAATTAATAATCCATCAAATTGGTCAGATTTAAGGCAGTGTATATCATTTAAAATATGTTCAGCCGCTCCTTTTACCCTGGTCAACTTCGTGGCCAACTAGTCAATAATCAATTTTTTAATATGGTGACGTAATGTGATTAATGTTCATTTTTATATCTGATTATTATCTCCATCTGATTATTACTAAACTTGACAACCTTTTTGAGGAATTTATTCAGTATCCACCCCTATTTATTATATCTGACCCAACTCATGTTATTCTACATATTACGTAATCTATCATTTTTATTCCATTATTCTCTCTCTCTCACTTCATGTTGACCATATTTATTCTGATCATTATTTATCTTACAATTTCATTTCACTTATAAACTGATCCAAATTAACACTTCATATTAGTCAGCCCCAACATTAACGATTTGATTTGATTTGATATTGACAAACAACAATTCTTGATTCTGAAGGAGTTTTGTGGAGATTTTAGAAATTTCACTAGTTGAAATCATGAGTCAATTGAAGCTAGACCATCATGGAAAAACTGGAAGCACTGGATGGCCATTTTGTCCTAGTACGAGACTCCTCAGCAGTGCGCATCCACGATCCCGCCCCCGCGAGATTCGAACCCAGGAACCATCAGTCTTGCGCCGTGACTGCAGTGCTACAAGGTTTTTCATGGTGATCTAGCTTCAATTGACTCATGATTTCAACTAGTGAAAAATTCTTGATTCACTTGTTACAATTTTAAACGATGTACTCTGCCTTAAATCTGACCAATTTTATGGGTAGTGGAGATATGTAGCTCAGGTGGATGATTTTGATGAAGTTTTGTTCTCTGAGCTGGATGTTATGATCGTGTCCTTTGTAGCTTCATCTTTTGGTCCTCTATGATATGTTGGTATTTGCGGATCCTGTAATGTTCATCCGTGATCACTAGGAGTATTATTATTCTTCCACTTTACTCAGCTATTCTGCATCCCAATGGGTAGTTGATTGCAGGTCTGTATCTTACACTTGTTGATAGGAAATTTTGACGAAGACACTCGTGGAGAAAATACAGTTGTTCTCGAGTGAAAGCCTACCTTTTGGCGAAATTCTCCCACTTTCGAACAACGAGAAGCGTACTATGCTCATATGATTTTGAGATGGTGGAGAAGATTTGTAGCTCAGATGAATGATTTATATGCATTGTTAATTTGGATATGATAATTGTAGAACCTGATGAGAAATTATTGAAAAGAATATTCTTCGTTTATACAATTGTGTTTTAATATGATGGGAATTTTTTTTTGGCGATTAAAGTCATGTTAATTTATTTTTTAAAATTAAATTATCACTTTTCTAATTCTTTTTCTTTCTTAAACATTTTGATTTTAGAAAACTGGTGTGCCGAAAATTTATGTAAAACGACAATGTGTTACTAACTGTTCAGATATTGCAACTAAATTTCCTATTAAAGATCTTTTATCATGTTGTACAACTGATCTTTGTAATGATTCAAAACAATTAAAACCATTTATTATTATGGGATTAATAATTTACTCTATTTGGTATATATTTACTAGTATTTAATTGATATAACATTCAAATTTCATATCGTAACAAAGTGTCCGAACGTATTTACTAATTTGACTAACTTTATAAAATGATCATGATCATGAATTTAATGAATTCACATGTGTTTGAACTGTTGTTTTACCATTATTTATTTTTTCATATATTACATAATGAATTTCATTGTTTGTAAAACAATTTTATAACTAGATATCCTTTGATCAATAATACGATTAGTGAAATGATCGAAACATTGTTGCTAATCATTTTTTTTCTAAAACGATTTCATTGACAACTAAGGTGTGTAGCCTTTGGTGGATAACGTTTTATGGTATTAGAAACATAGAAACAAACAATTTATGAAGTATTAGTAGAAAGATTCTGTGAAGGTTGGTTGGTCTATGTTTATTTAGATGACTATTGTAAAGCAGGAAGTATAGGATATATGTTACGTCCTGGTTTGGATCTCATTAACAGAGAATAATTTGGACCTATTTAAGAACAAATTCAGGACTTCATGTAAAGCAGAAAGGATATAAATATTTACATCAATGAGTTGGTTTCCTCTGTGTCATGTTTCTAAACACAACATTCTGTAATGCAAGAGCTGTCAAGTACTTTCTGGTTTTCATTCGTTGTCTAATGAACGTCAGCTCATGATACATAGCTCAAAATTTTTAAGTTTTCACTATGATCATGTAATAGTGTAAATTGGTGAATTAAATCTTTAGTTACCAAGTAATGCGATGGAAGACAATCGTAAAGAGATTTTAAGTTGTTTGACGACTGTTTCGATTTAAATTTCATTATTTTCCGATAGTTAATACTTTTATAAATAAATGAGGTTGAAGCTAACAAGAGCTGAATTATAACAAATGTATAATTATTGACTTCAGGTTAATTATATTTTGAACCATTTCACTTCGACATATGCTGATCAATAAACATTTCAGGTTAGATTGAAGACGTACAAGCATTCACAATACATCCAACAGATCAACAATAGTATCTAAATAATAATGTAAACCTGGAAACTCATTACTCAAGTTCATTTTGAGATCTTGAAAACACCAAAGTCAAAATCTCATTATGTTTTATTTGCCTTTTTTAGGCTATGCAATGAATCCATACTAATATTTATTGAAAATATATAAACATACTGAGATGTACTTGACTAGTCACTACACTTCTAATAAAATAACAAGTGTTAGCTATAATAAAAAAACTCAACAGATTTTTTAACTGAGATCATAAATCAATCGATATTAAGCGACTAATAAGAACTTGGAAGCACTGGATGGCCGTTTTGTCCTATTATGGAACTCCACAGCAATGCGCATCCATAATCCTGCATGAAGGACGCGAATATAAGATCGGCGAGACTAATTTATGAACGAACCTTGAACGGATCTTAAATGACCTTGACAATTATTAGCCAATCAGAAGGCAGCATAAAGTAAAAATATATTATAAGAAACAAATGAATTACAGTGGATATTCTTTGCTTTCTAACTACTGTTTCATCTATTTTCACAATACTTCCTACTCCTCCAAATGATTGGTGTAGACGTGTCATTTTAAGTGCACATATGTCACGACAATACTCATACCACTCGACTAATGAAGTTTCAGTAACATCTGCAAACGCCGCAGTCAGTGTCACTGGTGTCTTTATTATCCAATTTGCAGCTATCATGATTTGCCTCAGTTTCAGTCGCGATCAAGCGAAGAAAGTCCCCATTCGAGCAGACTTTTTCCTCCAACATAAAGAACAACGAAATACAATCTAATCACGGTAGTCTGCACACTTTACTACAGTCATTTGATAACCACAGTTACAGGTACAGGGACTTCTTAGTAGTCTCACCTCTTGTAGCCGCTCAATAATCACCTCTTCTCTAAAATCCACTGTGAGCCGATCGTATGTGAGCATGAGGTGTTGAACTCGGCTCCGTGACCTTGGAATTGCTCAAACGCTTCAGACTGGCTCCTCCATAAATTAGAGTATCCCCACAAGATCTTCGTTTTCTCGTGCGACCGCATAAGTTCTAGACCACTGAGCTAGTATCTAGTGGTGATAATGTCTGAATTCAACTAATCCACGATTTTCATATAAATAGATTGTTTACAATTGGAATAAAACTGTACAGAATATCTTTTCGAATAATCATGTTGATTCATAATCTGTATTGGTAACACACTGTGATCTATTTTGTGGAATTTGATTCTTCGTCATTAAATATCTCTTGTCAAGATTATGGTTATTAAAACAAAGATACTGCATTATATAAGTTATCATAAACATAAGATCACATAATAGAGGACACAAAATCACAAAGGGATTTTTGAGAAGAATGTAATAATTCACCAATTTATGAATGTCATCAATTTGTATATATTAATCTTATTCATTTGAAAGCAATGAAAATTTAATCTGATTTTAGTACAAATATTTTCCATCACAATCTATAAACACTTGAGAGAGCATCAATCACATCATGTTTGAAAATAGGCTATGTTGAATAGTACCACTTGGAAATATAAAATTAACGGTCAGCTGGTTTCCACTGACATATCTGATTTCAATTTTTCAATTTGTCATTTCTAGTTTCATCACCAAGTCAAATACGAGAATGGATTTTTAAATACGTATGTTTCGTACGATCGCTGGTAGTAGAGTGAAGCAAAATAAAATGATGCGCAATAGAGAAGGCATGTGAACCGACTCAATTTAACCAATCTTGAATCGATATTCATAGACTAAAAATAAGTTTAGGACATATAATGTGGGTAAAGTAAATAATTAGCACACATATAAAAAACAGCCAAGATTAATAAGCGAATAAGTGACAGGATGAAAATGTTACTTGAAATGAATGAATAGATTGATCTATCCAAAGACTAGAATAACCTATTTGGACTTGACATTATACCAGCCCCTGCAATGAGTTTTCAGAAAATGGATAGATTATAAAAACTGAGGTATTCAAACATTACCATATAGAAAGTGAAAGTGAATAAAAAAATCGATTAATATGACTGACAAAAATCATTTTCTACAACATACAAAACGTGATTAGAGAGAGGTTTTGTGGATATCATAGTAATTTAATTATTCAATTCATGGGTCTACTGAAGTTAGACCACCATGGAAAACCTGGAACCACTGGACTATATACACATTGTTCTTAAATATCATTTTAAGTTCCATCTTTCTCGGAAATTATTAGTTTTCTCATGATTATATATTATGACTTCAAGTAGATGATAAATATTCAATGTGATGAATAAACTATTCCATTTTTAACTGCTCTATGATATTGAAAACTTTAGTTTATGTTATAGATGAGAGAAAAACAAACTAAGTTATTTCAATTAGTTTCATTAGACTTGTACGAAGTTATTTCTTTCATGTTTTCTTTAAACTTTGTATATATAAAGTAATCGAGAAAATCTAATTCAAACTATTGAATCATTTAATTCAATAGGGATAATTATTACTAACGGATTTAATGATGAATAGTAAGCTATTTATAGTATCTAACTTTACACAACTTAGGCTTAGCTAGTTCTTCATTGGATAAATAACTATATCGTATTAATACACATTTAAATAATACAGACTTAGAAATCAAATATTTAGTTCAAAAATATATCGGTTTAATTTTGCTTGGAATAGTTACAGCTGAGTAGATCAGTGATTTAATAGGTTAACATAATAAATGCATTAAACTTTAGTTAAATTATATTTATAAAACTATCCAAATGACTTTATATTTCCACTAATAGTAAATATACATCATCGATACATCCTGGTTTAAAAAGTCTTTTGAACAATCAATGACAATTATTTGACGTTAATTAGTCTTTGGATAAAATCTACGTCGTGTTTGAATATGCATATGTAAAGTGTGGTGAAGGAGAACACAGGTGAGGACAACTGAATCATATTTAGCATAAAATTACAGAGTTACTTGGTAAAATGGAAAAATCATACTATAATACTTAATTTGAAAAATGTTCAATAATTGTCTCGAACTTTGTTGTTTTTGCATTTCCATACTAATTGCTTTCTATTCCCGCTCTTACTTTTTTGATCTTCCTCATCTTCTGCCGCCAGATATTACATTCCTGACGCGCTTCATATACTACTTATATCAATATAAGTCGCACGCACCACAAAGTATTAATCCATTTTTTCCAAATAATTCTAAAACTATTAAAATTAATCTATGATTTCATAGAATTGATCATATTTATCATTTGCTTAGAAACTAATTAACGGGAAAGAATTCGTCATTTAAATTATATTTTCCATTTGTTAAACAGAAAATATATGACTCTAAAAACCGTTATGAACATGTAAATAATTCAATAAAAGGATGATATTCTTATTAACTCTACACTTGTCTTACGTTACTTAATTAATGTCAACCAATATATATTCCAATGGTTAAGATCATGAGTCAGTTGAAACTAGACCACCATGAAAAACCGGGAAGCACTGGACGGCCATTTCGTCCTATTGTCGTCCTATGTGTCGCTCACTTTCGTGGATTAGTTGAATTTAGACATTATCATTGTTGGATGCCGGTTCAGTGGTCTAGTAGTTAAGTGCTCGCGCACGAAACAGTAGTTCCTGGGTCCGAATCTCGCAGGGGGCAAGGTCGGGGATACGCACTGCTGAGGAGTCTCACAAGAGAACGAAACGGACGTACAGTGCTTCCAGGTTTTCCATAATGGTCTAGCTTCAACTGACTCATGATCTTAACCATTGAAATTACTATAATATCCACAAAACTCATCTGATATTAATATATATTCCCTTAATATTCTATATAAATTAATTTTCCCTTTGGATTCTTATTCATGCGTAATTTATATACGTTAATGTAGTATGTTTTTTCGATCTTGTAGCCAACAAAAAGCAATATACACAACTTTCTCACGGTCTTTACGTTTTTAATTGTAATATGTCCAGCTACTTGTAAGTAGTTGTATACCTTTGTCTTTATTTACTTATCACTAATTAAATGTTACAAATACTTCTTATTTGACTGACTCAATAAAAAATACATTGTTTATGAGGATTTAGACTTTTTCATTCTTAGTTGATCAGTCTCTATCGTTAAATGTATATCCTGAGTAAATTGACACAGTATTACCACTTAGGCACATGTTTATAGTGTGCATTTGAATCATGACTACCAGCGGAATGCAGGATGGATGTTTCGTTCTATTCAAGATT